TTCACCTTTAATGTATATAGGTAAACACATTTCTCTAATCGCACGCACAGTAGGATGGAGGGGAGGTGGATGAAAGGAGGTTTCTTTGTAGTTTCTCTACAGTTGTGAAAGAATTTTCAGTCACACAATTGAACTTGCTTTTGCTGTAACACCACAATTTCCCCATTTTGGGACAATAAAGGGATTTTCTTTTCCGTTCTATTCTACTCTATGAAGTTATAACACCACTGCTACTATCATCTATACCGTAAACCAGTGTTTCCCAACCTTTTTTGACTTGTATACCCCTTTGGGCATTTTTTCCCACCATGAGTACCCCTCTCAGTCAAAAGTCTTTTAATAAAAAAAACATGGATATGTTGCCTGGTTAGTAAGGGATCAAAATAAATACAAACTAATATTATATTATAAACCTGCATTTATAAAACGGGAGCTCTCTTATAATCACGTTTAAACTTGATGAATTGGAACTGAAATACAGAAGAAAAATTATAGTTAGACTGACTCAATTAGTTTGGCCTTGTTTTCATCAAGACACCTGAGCTTGCTTTGATGAGCTCCGATAGCTAAGTGTGAATAACTGCTGATACCAGGCTGTTCTATACATCCAGTCTATTCCTCTGCTTGGTTTTGATGTGTGTCACAGCTGAAGGTGAACTCAAACATATAAGAAAAACATACTTTTTGGTTGATGAGAGTTTAATCTTTCAATTAGGGTCCTTACAAAGCAAAACAGAATCCATGCCCTATATACTGTAATGCTAGTACCTAAGAAAAAAAAGTTTTTGAGGTACCCCTTGCAATGCACTCATGGGCCACTAGGGGTACTAGGGGAAACACTACCCTAAATTTATAACCCTAAAACAATATAATGTTGGTCATTATAAAGACATTTTGTCAAAGCATGATCCAGAACAGCAAAAGCCCATTCCTCTCATCTCTAAGTGGAAAATCATTTGGATGACACACAATGTTATCTAAAACCTTCAAATATCTTGGATGACTTTCTCTTTTTGTATCTCTCTCTGACAATCTGTTATGGTCCAACAGAGTCTCCACATCATTAAAGTGGTTAGCACTTGTGTCGTCTCTGTCTCCTCTATATGTCTCTCTCTTTCACACAAACACACATACTCACTCTGGCAGATATAAAATAAACAGCTGTAGTTGGTTACTGGGTTGTAAAATGAGCTGGTCCCAAGTGTCACTTCCTTTAAGCCCTGTGTTCCCTATGTCTTAATCTTTGTAATAATGTTTTTACATTTTTTGTCTCTCCATTTTTGTGGTTATTAGTCTCTCAGTGACTCTTGTCCCTTTTTTAAAAAAAAGGAAATAAAAGGCACATTTGCACCAGATAGTTTATGTCATTTTTACTAGCATTTAAAGATCTATGCGCAGTTGGCATACTACATTTGCGAATTATAGCCCAAGTGTGAATGTTTACACCGATTTCAAGTTTGTTAATGTAAACTGCTTTGAATAAAGCAAATTCAGTTTGTAGTTTCTTGTAACTTAAAAAATATATATATATATATATATATATATATATATATATATATATATATATATATATATATATATATATATATATATATATATATATATATTGTGTACATATTTGACAGAGATACATGGTAGTAACATCCAGGAGTTTGAAGTTTCCATTATTCTGGTTTTGTTTTTTACACAAAAGGATATTATTCAGGTGCACCATCGAAGAAAAGTCACACCAAGTCAATCTCAGGCTGATCATAACTCCTGGGGTGTTACACAGTTCTACAGTGCTATTGGAGCAATCTGTTGACGTGACCAATCTTTTGCTGGAACTTCACAATTCTGAAGTCTTCAAATGAACACATCAAATGAAATAATGCCCCTGAGTGAATCCAGCTAATAAAAAGGATTGGTAAATATACAGTAAACATAGTGTAACATAATTCTACTATTGTTACAGAGAGAATATAACATATTTCAGTTTGTTCCTGTTAAAGATAAATCTTCCTCATGCTTCAGGGTAACCTGTGAAGTACCAAAATGGGGCTATTTCTCTTTTACTTTGTATATATATATATATATATATATATATATATATATATATATATATATATATATATATATATAATTTAGACAGCATGGGATTAGTTTCCGCTGTTATGCTGATGATACTCAGCTATATCTGTCTATAAATCTTGATTAAACTCACCCATTACATAGATTACAGCCATGTCTTGAAGACATAAAAACCTGAAGGATTCATAATTTTCTACCCGAGTCTTTCAAAAAGAAGCTGATTAGTCAGTCACTACATTTGGTCAGGATTAAATTGATCACAGATTACAAAGTATAAAGCAGTGTTGTTATTTTTCATCAGGACCTGTCATTTAAATCCCTATTAAAGAGGTTTCTACAGTTTCCTTCTTTCATCTCCAGAACATTTCAAAAATTGGAAATATCCGGTCCGGGTGATGCTGAGAAACAACTCCATGCATGTGTTACTTCAAGGCTAGATTATTAAAAGCCTTCAGCTGATTTAAAATGCTGTAGCCAGAGTTCTAATAAAAATTAAAAACATAGATCACATGTCTTGTTTTTTAGATTCTCTCCTTCTCAAATATAAGGCCTTTAATGGCCAAGCTCCATCTTACATCAGAGATATTATTGTTCCTTATGTTCCTAACAGAACACTTGGCTCTCAAGCTGCAGGTTTACTTGTGGTTCCTAGAGTATTATAAAAGTAGAATGGGAGGCAGATCTTTTAGTTATCAGGCTCCTCTCTTGTGTTTTAATCCATGAGGCAGAAACCCTGTTTACTTTTATGGCTAGGCTTAAAACTGCACTATCTCTATAGTTATGCTGCTATTGGCTTAAACTGCTGAACCCCTTTTTCATCCTTCTGCTTCATTCTGTTCATATTCTCCCATTCTGTGGTATCTTTTAGTTGTTAGATAAGTAGTTATAATCAGTGGATAAATACACATGTTCATCAGCTTAACAATTATGCATAAGTTTGTGTTGATTTCACATGAAGAGCATAGCATATTTATTGAGGTTTGCAATTGTAATGTGGAAATGTCATGGGTTAGAAATATGATGACACTCTTTCTGGGTAGTAGTCTTGCACATGTATAAAACCTGGCACCAAAATGTAACAAGAGAGTTCAGTTTATGACGTGTTGATAGTGACTCAGTACAGTTTTAGCTATAAAACATCCACCTTCATCCAGCTTGTTGCACTGGAAAGCTAATAGAGGATAAACCTACTTTTCCACAGAAATTAGCAAGTTAGCGCGGGTTTTTGAAATGCGGGTTGACCTGCTAACAGTCAACATTTGGCTTCTTTCCCAATTGGCAAAAAAAGCTGGGTCTGACGCCCAGCCGGCAAGTTATGTGGCCTCCTTCCCCCACGTCATGCTGGTTGATGATGTTATCAGTGCGTAAAATATTGTCAAAGTAAACAACGGAAAGCAACATGGAAGGGGGCCAGGACATAGTAAGTGTGATGTATTGTCTGGGTCTTTTGTCCTTTCAAATCCCTTTTTCCAGGGCTATGCAGAGTTATTTTGGCTTGCATATCAGACTTGACTGGCATGGTGTTGTGACGTATGTATGTTACGCTCAAGGGTATCCCGTAAAGTAGTGTGTCGACGCGGGTTCCCACTGTATGCTGATCAGAGCCGAGCTGTTTGAAGGCGATTTTAACCCACGTCGCTTGCCGAGCCGTTTGATGCAGATCAATGCGGGTCACTGGGCCTTTCCTACTGCCACTAAAAGCTGATTGTTTGCAGGTTTATATAGTTTTTTTCGGCCAATGGCAAAGGGGTAAGATAGACACAGAATTTCACACCCAATCACACCTTACTTCCCCTCCCCCCTATTTTCCTCTTCAGGCTTTTGTCTTGCTCTCACGCAAACAAACAGGCTCTCCTGCTCTTTGTACTAGCCACTGGCTGCTTTCCAGTCAGATCAGCTCAATATTCCACTCTTCCTAAAACCACCCTCACTCTTCTCATTGCTCTCTAAAGCCCCCGCATTGCCACAGTCATAGTTGTGTCACAGCAATCAATCAGCCATCAATGTGACACTGCACCACCAGAACAGAGTAATCACAGCGACCCGTTTGCCATGATTCCCAGAACTCCTCACTAACCATTAGCTCACTTCTGCGCTGGAATCTCCATGCTCCCGTTTAATTTGTTGTCTCTCTATGTGCCTCTGTATGACCTTTCCATCTACTTTCTGCACACTTTTATTGCCTCTGGTTGGTTCATGGGTTGCCTTCCGACACAAAAAAATGAAATTCCCAATCATTCAACTGTTTGATGATATTAAATTATAAAACTACATCAGAACTTGTGCCACATTCCACTGGTTGTGCCTTAATGCTTTCAGCATTTTGGCTGCTCAAAATAAATGCAAAACATAAAATAAAGTTGTGCCTCTAAACTGTTTGCCCTAATTTTGCACAATGAGACTGGAATCATATGCATTTTTTTTTTAATCAAGAATGTTCTTTGGTATTTTCTGACTTCTAAACTGTTTATTCTTTTTATTTATATTGCTTCCTGTTTTTATGATGTCTTGCGATCTCTATGAGAATGTACATTTTTATGCTTTTTCTAAATGAGGTTTTAAATCATTAGAGTGTAATATGAATTAAAATAAAAAATGAACTGTTGAAGAAATATTTTTTTATTTGCATTGAAAAAGGAAAAGTTGCCTCTGTTCTTATATTTGGATTAACTGACTATATAGCTGCAACCATCAATTGTTTAGTTAAACTTAAAACAACAAAGACAAGCCAGAACAAAGACCTGGTGGACACATAAGCTATAAAAACCTCCTCACCTAGCTTCTAATCTTTTTACCTATATCATTCCAATTAAACTGTAGAATCTAACCAGATCAATTTGCTAACTACAGTGGATATAATTGGCTATTCAAACAAACTGCTCAATATTTTAAATAAATTAAATAATTCAAACATCCTTTTTTGTTCTTACCTTGAGTTTGTCATGTCAGTTTGACCTCCTTGACTCTTTTCCAGTCCCAGCTTTGTGAAAATTCCCACCAGCACCATGATGGCCACCACACCACAGATAATATAAACAATCATGTGGGTCCGATCCCGGTCTGGTTCCTGATGAACCTCTGTGACAGGTATCCCAGGTTTCCCGGTGTTTGCCCACACAGGTGTGTCATAGTTGGAGCAGGAGCTCTGGTCCAAACTGTGGATTCTGAACTGGCAGCAGAAGCGGTAGAAGCAAGAACCACAACAGAACAGGTAGATGCCTGCGTTACAGTTAAATGGTGGGTCCCACTGGCCCATGACGTCGTAGTACCCCCAGCAGCGGTTCCCATTGCTTGAGTCTGTTTGTTGCCCTGGATCTGGTGTTGGTGTTGCCAGTGCTGCCTCTGGTACCACAGATGATTCTGTGGTCTGGTTGTTTGAAGATATTTGTGCTAAGACTTGACCTGATGGCCATGAGTTCAGTCTGCTCAGGTTGGTCAGACCCAGTAACATGGCCAATGAAAAGTTCAACAAGAGTGAACAAACTGGAGATGCCATGCTGGACTTACTCTGAGTTATTTCAGCTTCTCAGTTCAGTTAAGGGAGAGGTTTTGGAAGACCAACAAGCTCCTGCAATTTAAGAAACAACAACAGAGAGTTAAACATCTAATTTTAAAGCAAAGACAGATCAGTATATTTAAAGACAAATAACACAATTTGTGGTGCCCTTTCAGGGTGGGGTAATTTAATATTTTATAGACATAACTCCTCATGATATTTAGAAGGATGTAAGGGGGATTGGCTGGTGAAATAAACCCAAAACATGTTTTGAACCAGTTAATGCATCAGATCTAAATCTGCTGTATTGTGATAGTGATAACACACTTTGGTGAGGAAGCTGCTGCTAAGTGAAGTAAATGCAATCCTCTTTCATATTATAAACAGTTTATTACACAGTATATTTGCCAAATTGCCTCAAAATTCCTTCTGATCTAATAGCAGCTAAGGTGCATATACGTACAGTACTATAATTGGTTAATATTCGCCACATACAAGGCTCATATTAGAAGCGCTTGGCAAGAATTTAGCATAAACCATCCCTAGTTAAGCCTAATGTACTACCTTTTTAGTTATGTGTTGAATGGGATATTATTTAATTTACCGTAACTTTGTTTAGCAACATCATGATCAATAAAGGGTTTTTTTTGTATAATTTTACAGATATGCAATTAAGAAAGGTTTAAAGCCTTTGCCATGAATAGTTTTCTTAAATGACTGAGACATAAGGGGAATAAGGGAGTGAGGTTAGTCCAGTACTATTATACTTCTGATCAAATACATTAAGTGCTAGGCCTATATTTTCTGATCATGTTTAGGTAAGTTTGAGGATGTGATCTAGCAATTACAGATGGATGGTGCAACCAGGTACAGTAGCCAAGCATTAAAGTAGACATACCTTGGGACTACACTGCATAAGGCCCATATATTTCTTACCAGAAATATAAATTGAATGATTAAGCCAGTGAAATGATTTCAGACAAAATAGATAATGAGCATAACTCAGGGGTAATTACCCCAGCAGTGGTTATTCTGAAGAAGAAAAAAAGAAATAGATGAAGAATCCCAAGACACTGTTATGTCTCAAGGTAAACAATGTAAGGGGTGTACGTGTTTCTTTTTTGTGTTGCAGCTTTCAATTATGAAAGCTCATATTCATACTTGATTGTTATAAAATCAGTAATTGAGGCAAACTAAAGAGGGCATTGGTGTCTGAGGATTTATTTTGTTAAAGAGGCTAAATTACCACCACTATGAGATAGATGTTTAAAGATAAGGTCAGATGAAGCACAGATATGCTGGCATGGTAGTCCCTCTCTTAATATTTTGTACTCTTGTGGTATTAGTAATGCTTACGACTGTTTTCGGTCCGAAAATTGGCTTTAATGTTCTGATGTTTTATTGAATTGAAATAGGGAATTATAGACCTTACTGTAGTTCTGACTTCAGCATCTGGCATAACAGCTAAATGCAATCAAGGAGAAATCCTTTGTTTGGTCTTTTTAAACCTTTTGACATTTGTTGTTAGAATAATTCGTATGAGTCTGAATAGTCTTGGAAATAAACTTGTAAACAGGTGTTCAAGGCTAAATTTTACTTTAAATATGAATTTAATTTATGTCTTTATTTGAAAATAGTAAACCATGTTTTACATCAAGTGCTTTCTTTCACACAAAGTGTGATATCACATCTAATCCCAAACAAAATTTGGCACATTATGTGGTCCAGACAAATTTTTTAAATGTTGCTTTAGTTCTTAATGACAAATTTGGTCAAATCATTTTTTGCAGGTGAAAAGCTTTTAAAAAATGGAGATAACAAATCGGTCAGAAAAGTTTTACCGCTGCAGATCTGAGGTCAAGTTCGAACATAGTTAGAAACTTTTTATATCAGTTGAGTTCAACTGGTGTGGTAAAAATGTCATTTTCCTTTTTTCGGGTACAATCAAAATGTAGAATTGAATTAAACAGGGTTGCATGAGGTATATATAGCCTGATCAAAAAAGTTGCTTCTGCTAAACAATCTGATATTAGTTCTGTCTATTCATCAAATATAGATTTGTATTTATTACAGTTTTGGCAGTCATGAATGATCTGTTACTACGAAAGAAATTAATGAGACTCCTGTGGACACAAACATTCACAGAGCCACTATACATTCATGACATTTGATTGAGTGTGTGGTAATGTTTGTTTATAGAAGCTAATAAGAAAGAAGTCAGCAGAAATCACCTTTTATGAAGCCATTCAAGTCTACAGCACACAGCAACGGTGGTTTTAGACAAATCCAGACTCTTGGATAGGAGGATCCAATTTAGGAGGACGAATTACCTATGAATGAACTTGCCCCTGGCATTTTCAGCACCACAGAGTGCTTGAATAATCTGTGAAAAGTGAGAAATGTAGGTTCCCAATGGTGCTGGTGGACAAAGCGAATCCAAACCTGCAGTTAGCAAAAGGTTCCCACATGTAAGATTTTTCACTCCAAAGATAGACTCATATTCCTGAGTGGATAACACCTCAGCATTGAAGTCAGATAGGTTCTGGTGTCCAAAAGAAAAAAAAAGTCCTTCACAGATCTTAACTTGCATCTATGCTCCTGCTACTCTCAATGTCACTGCTGAAAAGAAGCTTTTTTATTTTTGCATTCGCCATGTCACTGTAGTCCACTTCGGAAAACTTTTCTCTCTGAAAAGTGTGGCTTTCAGTCGTTCAACTGCAGGCGTCTTTCTTAGCTAATCTGCGGTTTTCTATTTTCAGCACAATAACCAACAGGTAACAGCAGCTGTGAAATGTCTTTAGAGCATCACTCCAGGCTCTCGTAAAGCTAGAATCTTGTGGTGAAAACAGTCCAGAAGTGCACCTGAGGCTTGTTATCTCTCAATCATGCACATCCATCCTTCCACATGCGCACATCCACAAACAGCTTAATTCCCTGATGAAAGAACACCGTTAGTATCAGTCTGGAGCTTTTAAGTGGCACACACAGGAGTCCAATGGCTTTTTTTGCACTCAGTGTGCGCAGGGCTGATGCTGCTGCTGTTGCTCCACTGAGACCCCTCCTCTCCCTGGATCCAAGGGTCTCTGACAGACACAGGACACCACTCTCGACTTTCAGCTTCTTAGGTCTACCCTACAATTGCAGAGGTGAAGAGAGGGGAAAGAGATCAAGAAGGGCTCCTGCACTGAAGCTATTATATTAATGTCTTGGAAAATTTTCCAAGAAAGGAAGAGAAGATTAATGGGTTAAAACGATTTGTCTATTTTGGAGCAGACAATGGCTTCTTCTTACATCAGGGTTTTGTTTTTCACTCGCTTTCTTTGTCTACAGCTAACTTTTTGTTTTCATTGCATGCTCTTGTCCTGATTTCCACCATCCTTCCCTTGATGTTTTTATCTTTTTTATAGCTTACCTCACCCTTTCTTCTCTGACCCAGTAGGATTTTGTTTAGCCGCTGCAAAGGAAATACCAACTTGGGGTCAAGGAGCCCCTGGACTGCCCTATGCACTTTCAGCAGAGCGCTTGCATGAGTCTGGCTGGAACAAAGCTATCCCAGCCTGCATGGAGGACAGAGACAAGTGGAGATGCGACAGCTGAATGGCAGTGTGGCACCAAGGGCAGATCAAAAAAGATCCTGTTTTCAAAAGAAACCCTTATGGGAATGCGGGACAAAGCACAGCAAAAGCACTTTAGAGATAATCTTGCATCGGTTACTCTGACTCCAATTTTAAAATTTTTCTATTTTTTCCCCTTTTTCCCCCTATTGAAAAAAAAACAAAAAAAGAAAAAAAAAATCAAAGATTTAATATGCAACAGTTTCTATACAGATGCTGCATATTATCTCCAAATTGATGCCTTTTGATGTCAATTCAGTCGTCCAGCTGAAGCTTCTTTGAAAACAGGCATAATTTGATATATATGTATAGGAATTTTATATATATATCATATGTATGTGTTTTCACTGGTGCTCTGCTTGTGGGATGGTCCAAACAGAAGTGTTAGGCGCTCACAAAAGCAATAAGGTGCCCTTTGTTTTGTTTTTTCTTTATTCCATCTTCTCCCTTTGTTGTTGCTTCCTCATCAGCGAGTATTCCCAAAAATCCTCGGTCCGCTCACAGCGTCTGTCTCCCATGCGCTGGCGATGTTCGCGCTCCTACTGCTGCCTCTTTTCTGTGGCAGGACTGGCTGTCAGTATCTCACGCTATCACTCTGTTTCTCCTCCACCTCCCTTTTTTCACGTCCCTCCTCCCTCTCTGGCGCACTCCTGCCCTCCCTCATAGTGTATTTCTCTTTCTCACACACACACTCACTAGTGCCTTTTGTGCATAAATGAGTGCTGTTCTGGCTTGTTGATTCTCCCTTTTACTCTCTTGCTTTCTCACTCATTATATGTCACAGACAGTGCTTTTTCCAAGTTTTCCTGCTTAGTTTATGATGGCTGGAAAAAGACCTTGCGGTATTTGAATATTAAATGATAGTTCTGGAAGAACTAATGGGAATGCATAAAATTAAAATAATTACACCAGGTTATTATATTACGTGTATATGAACCTTCAATTTCAGTTGACTCGCTTCAACAAAAATTGTGCTTTTTAGAAAAAACTCAAGAAATTAAAATTCCTATCAATGGTACAGGTGCCCTCGCCTCACCTGATTATTTCTGCAAGTGCACAAATGTGCTTGCTTGTTATATTTTTTTTTATCCCTCACAAATATGCCTGAAAAAGCTTGGACCCTTTTTGCCACCTGGATACCCGCTCTTTTTCGCTTATCTCATTTCCCTCCGTTGTTGCATAAACTTGCCCCTTGTGTTTTTTTGCCCCCTCACCGCCTTGGCCGTATCTAGACTCACAGCTAGTTCGTGATTGTCCCTCTTGCATTGTGGCGTAGTATAAAATAGCGCAAACTGTTAGGGTTCTGTTTGTGGGGATTGTTTTTGTATTTTTAATTTGTTTTCCCTCCACCACTAGATTGTGCCCTTTGCCTGTTTTTGGCTTGAAGGACGGCTTCCGGGTTTTCCTCCACACATGCGGCTTGTTGGGTAATCATCAGAGGAGTATTTGAGCAGCGGACTGTCATCACCTTGACGCCAGAATGTTTGCCAGTATTGGGTACTCTAGCCTCCTGAGATTAGCTGAGTTTAACTTTTGTGCCTTTGTCTCTCTGAGTCTAAGTTTTTGCCTTTGCCTCATTTGTGTTCTCCGGTAGGATTACCCTCCTGATCTGCTGGATAAGCCTGGTCCTTCTCTCCCCTTGGAAGGAAACATTCGTCTCACACTGAGCAAGGTGAAACCTTCACCTGAGCCGTTAAAACCCCCTCTAGAAAATCCTATGACAGTCCCCTCCGTTTCTCCTCTGGACCCATCTCTAGTCTGCCTGTCCGCCCTCTTACTAGTAAAATCATCTCTGGACAATCCCCCCACAAACTGGACCCAGGGATCACCCAAGAACCCCTTTATGTGAGTCTTTTTGAAAACATTCATCTGCCTCAATCTTTTTCCCTACTGGTCTCAAACTCATCCTTGTGATCTCCCTCCTAGAGTTTCCGGTTCCGGTTCACCAGACTGGTGGATTCCCCACTGAGAAAACCTGCAAATCCTATCTCTCTCTCTTTGAGTTTGTGAATCTCTCTAATAAACCTGTTAACTATTTCCCTTGCTCTCTGAGTGGGTTTCTGTATGTGGATTAGATCTCTTAAACCCATCATGACACATACCATGTTTCAAAATAAATCAAAAATATCTGCGTCTACCTGCAACAAGCTCACTGTAACACACTGCTGCGGGAGTCTAACCAGCCCTTCACAGGGAAACGCAGGATACTAGAGGTTGGCTAGAGTCGTACCACATGGTTTAACACTCTGGCAATGAAGTGCTGGCAGTCAGCTCCTTATATGCCTCTCCCTTAGCGAACTTGGATGAAAAACACCTGCACTCCTCCACCAACATGTTCCCAGATATAACCTTTAGGAAAGAATGTTGAAAAGTTGCCCCAAGGGAGAGCCACACTCCAGGATCCTTACAATTACCCTTTTTAAAAATGTTTATGTCAAGGCTAAAGCCTTTACTCACCTGGCAAAATATATGGTTAATTCATTCAACAATTGAATAAGATGGGTAGGGGTTGATATTCTCAGCCTTGGTATCTTAATTGGATTGGAAAAAAAACTGCATTGATGCATCTCTACCCATAAACCCCTGTTAATGGTTACAGAACCAAAGCAGAGGGGAGAAGACAGCAAATCACTGGGCATGAAATGGTGGAATTGAGTTGAAACCTCTGACATATGAAAGAAGAAGAACAGATTCCTGGTTTTCCCATAAATGTTTTTAAAATTTTGTGGTGTGCAATTTGACCACAGTGCTTATGAATGTAGTATTAACTGTAACCAGAAGTAACCGTTAATTATTATTATTTTAAATCAAGGGTAAACCATCACTTAAATATTGGTTGAATGATTATAATGGACAATTTGCCAAAATACCAGGTGTTATTAATGACTTTCTTTTGTGGCTGGATATTTGGACAAGCTGTTAAAATCTACGTTTTTTTTTTTTACAAATAAACACAGAGGGGTGCAAAAGCATTCTTGTGGTAGCATCTTTGATAAAATTCAGTTCATTTGCTCAGCTGTTGTGATGCAGTCACAGCAGCTTGGCAAGTTCATGGGTAGATAACTGGCTCAATAGCGCAGGAGGCAGGCGGCAACTTAGCAGTTCATGGGTTAGGTCCACTCTTTGCACAGAAGCTAACGGGCACAGAACATCGTGCTAGGAAGGAACCAGCTGCTATTTCATTTCATGAATGGGCGAAGATTTGAAAACTTATCATCTGTTGTACAAAAGCGGGGTACAAGCAATGGTGATGATTTCAGCTGAAAGCTTCTTCGATGAAGAAGAACCAGAGATTGCACCACGTGTAATGTGATGTCCAGCTGGAATGTTATGATATATATTCAGGATGGTAGAGGAACATGTTTCTTCGCAAAACAGCTGTAACCTGATCCCTCACAGAGAAGTTGTTATTGGATCCATAACACTTGTCTTGATGCCTTCTCGTAAACTAAATATTTTGTTTTAAAAATTTTTGAGAAAAAAATACAACGAAAAACAGACTAAATGTAGTCCAAGCAATATTCCAAACAGTTAAGAGAAGCTATTGAGTTACACTGTTTTGCAGCAGAGTTACCTTGCAGCAAGAAGGTCGTTAGATGTGATAGATTTTCAAGGGATATTAAGTCTTCTCCCCATGCATTTTGTGGGATTCTCCAGGTCCTCCCACAATGCAAAAACATGACTGTCATTTTAATTTTTGTCTCTCAATCACCCTGAGGTGTGTGTGTGTGTGTGTGTGTGTGTGTGTGTGTGTGTGTGTGTGTGTGTGTGTGGGTGTGTGTGTGTGTGATCATTGTTGTGTTACCTGACAATGGACTAGCAACCCACCCAGGGAGTCACCTGCCTTTCGCCTAGAAAACTTGAGATAGGCACTAGACCCTTGACCCTGATAGACGGAATTATTTCAAGTGATAAAGATTATGCACCCATTTAACCAACACTGTTTTTAATGTTGTTTAATACTGAGTATCATTCGAATGTTTTGGAAAAAAAAAAAAAAAACACAAACCAAATGCTGCAGTTTTCCATTTGATCGTAGATTCAATCCTTGACCCAGTTATTCACATAGTATCCCTTTCATCTCAATTTATTTTTTGTCCATGCCACATTCCATTCTGCTTGCTGCAGCACATTTCCAATTTCCTGTTTCTTCCTTTCAATTTACATCCCTGCCATATGTGAATGCCAGTTTGACATATAAGAACATTGATGGTGATTGAGCCGCAGGTCAGCGTGAGCCTACGTGCTGTTGCATCAACATGTAATACATGTTTGTACCAATGCGTAATGACTGCGCCTGTACCTCTGTACACCCTCGTCTCTCTGCAAGCACGTCTGAAGCATGTGCAGCACTGTAGGCTATTAGGACTGATTTAGGGAAAAGGAGTGAAAGATGGATGGAGCGGAGGATGAGAGGCAAGAGGAAAATGAACTAAGAGGGGAGAGGATAGGAAGGGATGGGAGAGATAGGGAGGAAAGAACAGGAAAGCCTCTGCCAAAGAGAGAAGGGAATGAGAGAAAGATTTGAGAAAAAGAAGCAGGAGGGGAGAACAGGAGAGGAATTATCGTAAGGAAGGGAGGTGGATTAGGGAGCTAGGGGAAAACTACGGGAAAAGAAGTCGCTTCAGGGATAGTAGAGGGGAGGTGGATAGGAAAGGAATTTAGACAGGTATGGAGAAGGTCGTCTCAAGGGAGAGTGACATAAGAAGAAAGAAAAAAATCATTCAGAGAAAAAGCAGCAGACTTATAGATAAGAGCTTTCATAAGATAGGCAGAATTCTAATTAGGTCATGCACAAAGAACAGCAAGAGAAAGACCTTGAAATTTGTGTCATTTTAATTTGGTCAACTTTAATAAAATAATTTCTCAATTGTATCTATTTTGTTTTAATTATTCTTATCCAGTTTGCTCTGACATCCACTTGAGATTCTGACTAATATTTGTTTTTCTTTCCCTGAAAGCCCAGAGCACATTTCCCCTTAGTGTTTTTACTCATTCCAAACCTTTCAGCCTTGATTTTCTTAAAATCCTTGGCAAAGTACATCAGGAGTTATGTCAAAGATACATCGTCCTGCTCACTTACGATGGCACACAAACACGCACTGCCATGACTTTACAGAAGAGTAAATGCATGAGCTACAAATCAGCTAATCCTCATTTCCCTCCTGACTTGCTTTTAAGTGTCCCTGTCACATCTTGCCTAATTAACTGAAGGTCACACATTTCTAAAATGAAATCACATGAGTTTTGAATATAAATGTGCTTCCAGATTCTACCTTTTCTAAGAAGTGTAACATATGTTTAGAGTAATGTACTAGAAAGTCAATTTGGGAGGAGAAAACTGTGAGGTAGCCCAAGGGAGAAAATGGACAGAGAAGAGAGAAGGTGGATTTGGAAAATTTGAATGACTTTTTTCACTGGTTCAGTTGCTATGTGGTGTCTGCCCACTGCACATGCAAAAGCAGTGTAAGATGTTTTGATATTAATATAAATCTATGTGATAATATTAGATGCAAGCCGTATATTTT